CCACCCGTCGCATCCCCCCGCCGCCGCCCCCCAGCAAAGGCGCGGCCGCATTTCTTGGACGTAAAAGCAGGTGAAAAGATACTTTAGCAGCCCCTAAAGGTGGCTGTTGGTGACTGAGCACTCAAGCCCCAGTTATTTTTCCACTGTTGGCTCGGGCAGCAGGTTTTTCTCCCCTTTCCTCAGGGTAGTTTTTCCTCCTGGCCACGTCAGAGACCTTTATAGCCAAGGCAACTTGATCCAAACAAACCCAAGAGCGTTATCTAAGACGAGACACGGCGTGCTCCCTCCCACCCTGCTCCCCTGCAGGCTGCACACATCCTCGGGTAGTGACGCGAGAAAGAGAGGCAGGAAATAATAATAATAATAAAAAATTAAAAGCATTTATTTCTACAGGAATAATTTTATAAGGATTTTTTGCGAAGTTATTGAGATGGCTCGGGTTGAGCCCCTACTGCACACCTGTGAACCCACACGTGAGAAAGCCGTGGCAGTGCTAAGCCTCCCTGCTCTGCTGCTTTGGCTTTTATTTGTTGTTATTATTATTATTATTATTATTATTATATTTTGGAGGATTTTCTCCCCATTTCTACCTCACATTAAATGAGCTGCTGGGGCCTCCCTCGGGTGACCTCCAGGGCTGCAGAGGGGAGTGCTACAGAAAGGGGTGCTGCTTGCACCCAAAAGCAGAGCACCCTTGCAGAGCCAAGCAGCTGCAATCCCCACCAGTGCAGAAAACTCCAGAAATCTGGGATTTCCATCCCCATTCCCATGCCCCATACACTCAACCCACCAGTCCTCCCCCTGCCTGCAGGTGATCAGGGAAGACCTGGATTTTACAAGCAATATTACGTTGGCTGCCAAGCTATTAAAAAGTAAACAGATTTCAAAGCATTTCCCCATTCTGCATCCAGGAAAAGTCCCCAAAACCCCAAATCCTGAACCCAAAGACAAAAGCACTACTCACCCCAGGAGATGCTGCTCTTCAGGAGGGTCTCAGGACTGCTGAAATCACCGGGAAAAATCCTTTGCCATGACCCGAATAAGCCCTTGGAGGGGCCTTTCCACAGGCACCTCCAGGACTAATTTTTCATTTCAGCTGGTGCAATATCCAGTATAGGATGGAGGGGAAAATGGGTCCATCCTATCGGGACAAGCATCTCCCAGCCACTGGGTCCAGAGCAGGGAGAAAAGGTCAGATCCAGGATCAGGAGAAAGGATGTGGCAGGTTTCACCAAAAACTGGAAGATGAGATGGGGACAATGATGTCCACTCAAAAAAGGCTGGGGATCAGTGGGGAGAACACTCTCCCCAGCTGCCAGGTTAGAGATTTTAACGAAGCTGTAGGTGATGGAGCCAGGGTTGGGTGTGTGAAAGAAAGAGGTCACCACTCTCACAGGACCCCCTGAAAAAAGATTGCAAGGTTATGACCTGAAAACTGGTTACAATAAAGGGAAAAACATTAAAAAAGTAAGAAGGGGTGCTTCTTCCACCAAAGAAGTTACAGGCCAAGTCACAGGACCTGCACTGCTCAGCACGCCCCACGACCTGGAAAAAGGCAACAAGCAGAAGTTAATAAAACCCCACGGTGATTCAAAGCTGTTCAGCTACAACATAAACCCGAGCCAACCAAATTTTTAGGGTGGGACTTGCCACTCTTTTTATGAGGTTTTATAAATCCATCTGCCCTAGCACAGTCTGGCTAAAAACCATCCAGAAACGGAGCAGAGGAGATCAGAAAAATGATCTTTGGGTTGGGGCTGTGGTCACTGGTTCACCAGGAGGATTTAATCCTCCGGTCCAGGGTAGAGACGGATGGATGAGGATGCAGCAATAGCCCTAAAAATTCAGAACATCTGCACGGGGATTGGTCATTCCCCGTTCTTCACACCAAAACAGGGCAGGAAGGTGGCCGATGGAGTTATTTGGCTGCAGCAGCAGCAGCTCAAGGCAAAGCTCTGTCACATGGTGCATGATTAAATCGCATCCATGGGATGGCAGAGGGGCCGTGAGTCGCTTCAAGATGGGATTAGAGAAACCCGGGTCTGGTGGTTGCTGTTAGCACAGCGGTACCAATGCCAGGGTCGGGG